TTTTTTTTTTTTTTTTTTTTTTTTGAAAATCTGAGTTCAACATAAGTATATCGGAAATTTTAATTTTAATTTATTTTTCAATCATGTTCTGGTTATTGACACAAAATATACAAAAAGTTAAAGCTAGTTTAATATTCTTTATGTTTTAAAAATAAAAAATGTTTGGAAACTCGTCTTCCGTGTATCTTCTTGGCAAATTTTTGTACATTAAAATATATTCTTTGTAATTTTTTATATAATAACTTTTGTGCAGACATATTTAGAGGACTTCACTCCAATTCATATAATCTAAAAAAATGTAACAAAACTTTTTTCATTTAGACGAATGAGTGTAATTTAGGGATAAGATCAGTTTTACATAAAAAAACTGAAGTACATATTGATATCTGATAGTGATTAATATAAATACCATAAAACAGACATTAAATTGTTAAAAAAAAAAAAAAAGACTTAATAAAATTTAATGGACAACAAATTTTATAAATACATTTTTACTTAAACAGAAAATTACTTTTAGTAAAACAATTATCATAATCGATACAGTAGAACTCCAATTATCCGAATTAATGGGGACCGGGACCCATTCACTGACTAATCAAAATAAACAATGACAGGTGACTGCAATGCGCCGGAACTGGAGTGGGAACTCTTACCACGTGTTGTGCCTACACTGACGCCGCGGACTTTGGACAAATTTTTTTCTGATTTTTTCTGAAAGTGATTCGGATAATCGGCGATTCGGATGGTCGGAGTTCGGATAATTGGAGTTCTACTGTAATTATATTTTTCTTTTTTTCAACTGAAAGTACATTTAAAAAGCTTTAATAACAAACGTTCTTGGACACATTTATACAAATTTAAATGAAAAAAACAATTTTTTTTTAATAATCCTTTTTGATGTGTTAAATAAGACTATTTTAAAAATCCTCTATATTAAGTACAGGATTTTTTTGTACAAGAGTTTTAAAGTGTCTCTAATATATCTATTTAAACAATGTAGACATTTATTTAAAAAAAAAAAGTTGCATCACTTTTAATATTTAACATATATTTTTAATTTTACAAAATTTCAATATAAGCATTAAAAAATTTTTTTGAGATAATTTCTTCGATTAATTAAAGTTATAACAATTTTAGCTTTGATGCTAAGCTGTAAAGTATTAATTTTACCATGACGTGTTTATTTTTTTTATGTCTGTCACTACTTTTTCTCAGCTCTCACTGAACCGATTTCTTTCAACGATACGTCAAAAGTTCACAAATCGTATCTAGTTGAAGACATTAACCTGAATAATTAAAAATTTTTCCCTCGTTCTCCGTAAATGGTGGAAATCCACCGAAAAATTATGATTTTTAAAATTTCGACATTTTTTCTAATAATTGTCAAAACTTATTGAAATATGAACAAATCAAAAAAAAAACATTTTGAGACCTTTTAATATGATATAAATTTTATGATAATCTGACCCTTTACCTGCCCATAGAAGGGGATTCAAATAGCAACTTTTTTACAAAACTTAACTTTTTTAATTTAACTTTTGAAAATGTTCTGGAAATACTGCGTCCTTTATACATATATCAAATTAAATCTTATCTTACGTACTATAAATTAAAAAAAAAAATTGCCCCGACAACTTATCTTTTATGTGTAAATGGCTGCCGTAGTTTAAAAAAATGCTATTTTTCGAAAATCAAAAATTTCAACAGACATTTTTGATTTTCAATTTTAAAATGCTATAACTTTTTGAAAAATGTATAAATCAATACAAATTTTTGTTTCTAAATAAATAATATATACTCCTTTTATCCGACTCACTTTTTTTTTTAAATCGGTTAATTTACCCTTATACAGGGAGCGTTCAAAACTTGAAATATACGTATAAAAGTAAAACTTTTTCAATTTAACTTTTGAACATTTTTCGGAAATACTGCGTCCTTTAAACATATATCAAATTAAATCTTTTGTTACGTAGTAAAAATTTAAAAAAAAAATTTTCCGACAACCTATCTTCTTTATGAAAATAGTTACCGTAGTTAAAAACAATGCTATTATTGTGTTCAAATTTTATTTTTGTTTGTTTGTTTGAAAACACCTTAGAATAGTTTTTGTCTATGCCCCTTTTAAATATGTCATTGGCATACATATAGTTGATATCGCTTGGTAATAGCTATATACTAGTATATATATATCGTTATTTTAAAAAGACTAACATCATCGATTATCAAATATAACAATAACTATCACGCAGGCCTAATTATTAGGATATATTATTTTATTTCAGATGTGTAATAGCGTCAAGTTTCCGGTAACGTTTTTAAAAGTTAAGAAAGTTAACTTTGTATGAGCATGTTGCAATTTTTAACTTTCTCAGTAAGTAGACCATGTAATAATAAAAAAAAGGCATTACAGTGAAATGTATACTTATTCAGCTTCCCAACTTCAATACATTTTTCTATTTATTCATTTTTTTTTTCTCATTTATATAATAGTTAAGAATATTACAAGAAATATAACCAAACATAGATTATATAATCTTTATTGAGGTATGCAAATGTTTTACTGGACCTATTGTAATTACTCAGTTGAATCAACTATGAATATGATAATGGTTATTAATATTTAATTATCCGAGAAACTTTTATTTTCAAGTAAAATTATTTGATTAAATATTTATCGACAAAAATGAACAACAAACCCCAACAAATATAAAAATTCAATTGATTTGGGATTACATAACCTCATTTTTATTTCATAAATAAATGTATACGGGCGATCATTATTTATTTGTCACTGTTATTTATAATTATATTTTCAATGATGACAACAATAGGTGTATATTTAACACTTTGTGATCAATTTCAATTCTAGTTAAAATTTTAATTTTTAATTAAAAATAATTAATACATTCATTAAGTCAAATTTATCTTATAAATATTCCTCTTGTAAATTAGGACCGTTCAAAATGTTTTGTAAAATGTATTATAATTTCTTTTTAAGACCAAAAAATTAAATTTAAGAACAATAAATATACTGTAATTGTTTTCTTGGTGAGATTACAATCTCAATTAGTTTCCGTAACTTGATATTTTATAAATAATTTTAATACTATCATAAGTTTATAATAAGCGTAGCCACATACAAAGTTATTGTGTATAATATTAGTTTTGCCCATGTAAAACTTTCATGATTTTAACATCTCTATTGTTGAGATTATTTATAATATAAATTAATATATATTATATTATCTATAATTTTCGAGTCGAAAATTGTTTATCAAAGACATTAAAATAACTTAATCTAACTAATAAAGTTTATATAGTATTTTGTTCAATAAAAAAATCACCACAAATAATGAAGCTTTACAACTTTTATTTTATACATATTTAACTTGATGTGTTAAAAACACATAATAATAATGCTAGTCATGTTTTAATCCAATATCAAATCAGAAAATAGAATAAAATTAATCTATGAGCAAATTTTACAAACTATACAACGGCAAGTTGTTTGTAAATTTACTGATACCTAGAATTTTTTTGAATGTAAAACGAATAATTCGATTTTTAGTAACGAAAATGATATTTAAAAATTTAGTATTATAAGTTTTACGAAGAAACTATAAAAAGTTAAAATGTTGTTGTATATTGCGTTACCTTAATTTATCATAAGCTATTAATAGCTAAAACATTTTTTTTGGATGGGGCCCTCTTCCTTTTACTATATTTATTTAATTGACATTAAGACCTACGAAAATTCTCCCTGTAAATATTTTAATTATTTTTATTATATTTTTTTTGGTAAAAGGGGGAGTTAATTGCATGTATACTTGTTATATTTACTTAGTATATTTGTCGATGGTTAAATGAAAGCACTTATTGTGTCCCTCTTATATGACTATACTGTTTGACTTAATATATAGTCATCAAAATTGAAAAAGTTCAAAATGAAATTAAAAATTATAACAACACGAAAAACGGCAACTTATTACGCAAAAATAACATGTTTTGTTTAACTACAGCGGTCATTTGCACATAGAAAATTAGGTGTCAGTAAATTTTTTTTTTGTCAACATATGGTTAAAACCTTATAATTACTATTACACATTTCATTTTATGTTATAACTAATAAACTACAGCATATTAACACTGACAAAAATATATATTAAAACTCTTCTCAATTAAAATATTAAAATAATAAACTGCATTACTTCTTATTCATCCAAACACAAAAATTAATAAAATTATTGAAATGAAATGTTCACCGACTATTTGCAAAGGTAAGAGACGGTTTACACGAATTCAGAGAAAAAAATATTTGTTTTGACAAACTAAACTTATCTTTAAAAAATGAAATATAGGTCCCCAAAAAACTGTTAATAAATGTCCATACATAAGTAGCAAACATCATCGATATTTATCGAAAGGCATCTGTAACGCCGGCAACTTTTTATTTTGTCATTGAAATACTTAACGCTGTCATCAGAAGAGCGCTGCAATCTATTCATTGACTTATATTTTCCAAAGAGTTCGCTATTATGAGCTTATACTGTATCTTTGGACGGAAGGCAACGAGTAATTATTACATATATACAAGTATACGGTACCATACCAATGCATTGTTGTATATTTCGCTTCTCCCTTCCCCCGCCTAAAACTGTACCGTGTGCACTAACGACGGGATAATGACACAATTACACATACGTGTACACATTGATCGCCATATTTAATCTTTTTAAAAATGCGCGCAATCGAATATCCGAAATAACATAAAGTATTGAACTCATTTATAGCTTTTGAGTCAGGTTTAAATAGTTGGAATTTAAACGGTTTCAAAAATACATTTTAATAATCATTGCGTAGTCATTTTTAATCGGTAAAGAATATAAATGATACCGTTTCGAAAAAATATAATTAACTAATATAGTAATCATCAGGTCCTTTAAAACACTCATTTAAATACGCTTAATTTTACACATTTTTTAATTAAAGTGTAGAACTAATTATTTGATATAATAATGATTTTGTGAACACTTAAAAATGAAAATTTACTTTTATATACTGTACATTTTTATAGTTAAAAATATTAGTTAATGACATTTTAATTAATCTGTTATTTAAATGATACCTTTATAAGCCAAATTTAATCATTTAAAATTCACTAAATATTCATAAAAAAAAAATTTTGAATTTAAAGAATAAAAAATCGGTTTAAATCAAATAAATGAATTTGTTACTTTCATGAACTATTAACTTTTAGATTTTGTTTTTAATATACATGATAGTTTTTCCACAAAATAAAAAAGACCATTACATTCAACAATTTAAAGAATGCTTATATTAAATTGTTAACTGATTTATGTTGTTAAATATACAAGCCATATCAAATACAAGAAATAATTTTTATGGAAATACACAACAACTATCACAAAGAACTCGGACAACTTTTACTGAAGGTTTAATAGTTGTGTTCTTTTAAAAAAATATATATATAATTCTTAAGCATATGTATTGGATGTTATTAAAATTATTTTCAATAATTTGTTAAAAATAAAGAGATGACTTAAATATGTTATTTTAAAAATTATATTTATGTTATCAAAATGAATTTGCACAACTATATATTAAACTGGCTTTTAGAATGTACACAAGTCAGGTAAACAGAATTGACTAAAACGTACAACGATTTTATTTAAAGTAAAAATACATTCAGGAAATTCTTAATACATAAAAAATATATATATAACGTAATTTTATAAAAAAAACTTATAATTGAATCCAGTGCACTAATAACATAGCTCTTATTATATTTCTTAAATATTCATACACTTATAAACGGTATAATTCATCATATTTACAAAATAAATGAACAATTGTAAACAATAGGTTTGCTATGAGGTGATTTTGTACACTTAATTTTGTACAAACAAAAACATATTGTTTAAAAACAAGTATGATTTTCAAAAACATAATAATAATAATAATAATAATAATAATAATAATTGAAAGTCAAAAATGAAAAATAACTATAAATTGAATTTAGAGCACAATGACTGCAAATTAACACAATTATTTTTTATAATTTCATTTATAATTTCTAGACAACAATAATAATAAAGATTTCTCCCAATATTGTTCCTTAATCCAAGAGATTTGTTTTATTACTAAAAATATAACAAATGTGTTAATTTTTATTGCACAACTTTTATACATGTGCTGTGGTGGAATGCATAATTTAAACTCTCTTAATACCACTTGTTTTACAGATATGAGGAACACTATCCCTTAGAGAAATGTAGTCCAGTAGGAGTGCAGTTTCTTATTTTTTACACTAATATGAGTAATAAAAATCACATTGCAAAGTAAATAATAGAAAATATATGCTCACATAATGTTTATCATGATTTCCAATTGTGAGCTGATGTAGGAGTTTGTGATGAAGATCTGGACTGCCCTTGTTGCGGCATCATTTCCATGAGATATTGTCTTTGTAAATCAACAGCCTGTCTTTGCAATTCAGCCAAATTTGCAGCTACCGCAGCAGCTGAGTTTTTTCCTCCAGCTTGTGCCATTGCTAACTGGTATGGATACAAGAGAGGAGCAAACTGTAACATAGCAGCTGCTGGATGAGGGGATAATCCTCTAAACATTTGTTGCTGAAGAGCCAAGTGTGCTGCAGCTGCATTGAATTTGCCTCCTGTAGGATCCGATGGGTGCATCTTATGTGGCTGGGGTGGTGTAGGGTTACGCTTAGGAGCTGGGGCTGGTTTGGGAATGGACGGCATGGGTGGATTAACCTGAATAGGATGTGCCGGTGCTGGCGACACAGATGAAGGAGGAGAGCCTTGTGCAAGCCTTTGCTCAATTTCTTGCTCTTGTTGCAAGGCTTTTACAAAAGCTGTTTTAAGTCGATTTGTATGCTCAGCTTTAAGAGATTTCTTAACATTACTAGTAACACACAGCTCACAAATTATTTTAGAATCTTTACCTAAAAATAAATCTTTATGTTATGAAAATTGAATTCTCAATTTTATAATTTATTAAGAATAAATTAATAAATATTTAATAATAAAAACACATACTTCTTGATGGTTTTTCTAATTTCCACACAGGAGTGAAATTTGATTCACACTGTGAACATTTGTATGGTTCTTTGGGTACACTGGCTTCAATTGTTTCACCATTAGTTATGAAGTCCACAACATGCTCTAATCCAAGCAGATAAATGAATTCAGTATTTGATGGATTTGGAATAAAATGCATTTCTGGTGGAGGTGGTTTTGGAGGAGGTATCTAAATATATAATTTGAATATTAATTTAAAACTTATAAAATAGCACACAGTATAGTAACCTGTAAAAGTGTTTTTTCCAGTTGTTTTCTCAAAGCCAATTTAGCCGCAGCCTGTCTTTGGGCAGGCGTTTGTCCATCATCATTTCTTATTCGTTCCTAAAGATAAAATAAAAATTAATCAAGATTTATTAGTTAAATATAGCAAAATTTTAAAATTTTTACTTGAGAATGATTTGTTGAGTGATGATCTTTCATGACTCTCTCTAATGTAACTGAAGGCGAATGACCAGAATTTTGAGATCCTCTACCATTGGATCTCTGTAAGTTCTGTACACCATTACTAGATAATCTACCTGAATTTATCAAAGGGCTTGTAGAATGGTGAGACTGGTGTAAATTAGATCTTGATGATGAAGGCTGAAATAAATTTTAATTACAAAATACATTTCTATTAAAAAAACTGAAAATATTCAATCACTTACTAGGCGATTCAAAGGTGGAGGAGGCGGTTTAGAATGATGAGGCACATGGGGTAGCGGTGGTTGAGCAGATTTGCCAGTGGGCAGTTGTGACAGCAAGTTTGAATGATCCTTTGTATGAGCTGCTTGTGGTGTAATACTAACATTTTGAGTAATTTGACTAACTTGTTGAGATTGTTGTAATTTCTTCAATAACACCAATGTCATTTCTTCTGTACGAAGATTTTCTTTTAATACACGAATGAGTTGCTCCCTCTCAGACAGTACTTCAGGAGTTAGTACATCCTATATTAAATCAAATAATTATTAAAATGCAAACACATTTTTTTAACCTTTTAACCTTTGGAGACGGAGGAAGTTCTAATAGCGTATCATCGTCACTTTCTTCTGAAGAATCCTCACCTATTGAAAAACCATTGGCTATATGCCCATTCATATGGCTATGACCATCATCTGTTTGACCCATTTTTAAAGATAAAGGTTCATCTCTTGATATCTGATTTGAACGACTATAAATATACATTTTATTATATAATAAATAATCAAAAAATTAACAATTTTTAATATTTAGGTAATAGTAAAATAAAAAAAAATTATAATATAATTCATTTATTGATTTTTAGCTTCGATGCGAAACTGAGAAGGTATTGGTTTTACTATGATGTGTTTTTTTTTTTTTTTTTTTTTTTTTTTTT